GTTCTATTCGTGTGTAGAGTTTGCTGCACACAGAAGCATAAAGGAAACACAGCAAAGATGAGAACAGAGCCTAGGTACCTATCTTTGCTATGCTCTCACCTTGTCAGAGTGTCTCCTTAGCTTTTCTGGCATTTGACCTACTCTTTGCCGTGATTTGTTTCCCTGGCAGAACAACCTTAGGGTTTCTGCCTGGTCAACCACAGCATTTTGAGCAGAAAAGAGATCTTATCTTGCTACAAAGTCTCTAAGTGGAGGTTTTTCTTTTTTCTTGTGTGATTAATTGGTGTGTTGTGTTTTGTTTCTCTTTCAATACTGTCATTTTGTGGAATTTCAAAATCCAGCTTGGATTTACAAGCGTGTAATGTCTCTAATATCCTTCAAAGGATCCGAATTGTGCTCTGTGGATTGCTGCTGCAGGAGGACAAAATCACAACATCTCTATTCTTTGAACGCCACCATTATCACTCTGTGTTAATGAAATTATTTCAGTATTACAAGAAATGAGGTTTTGAAATTCATTCAGTATTAGAGGGAATTGGATTGTAATTAGAGCATATTTCAAAAAGAATAAAAGGATCCATGATATGTGCTTAGCTCTTAAAGCACCTAATCCTGTATTAATTGTGCTTTGGGCACATCTGCCCTCACACGAAGGGGACTCTGACAGCGAGAAGGGAAATGTAGTGGTTTTTGAGGCCAAACAGCTCCTCCAGCAGGATGGCAGTGCAAGTGGAATGACACGGGAGAGCACAGGCTGCTCTGCCTTCCCTCCCCTGCCCCTCGCACAGTGCTGGGCTGTGTTCTTCATGGGCTGCAGAGGACTCGGCTGCATGTTACTGCACTATCTTCTTGCTCTTGGCGTTGGCTCTGTTAGCTTTTTCCCCCTGTATTTGGACAGGAGAAGATCATGGAGGTGTTTAGGTACCAGAAATGGAGTTGTCTTATGTTTCTGTCTGTTGTGCTACAGGCAAGAAGACATGAGAATGTTCATTCTAGCGTGGGCTGTGCTGTGGCCTCGAAGCACCTAGTATGGCATAACAGGACAGCTCTGCTGGCTTGTCTGGAGAGGAGGGTGAACAGCATGGTTGGATGAGAATCAGGCTTCAGGGATGTTTAGCTCAGAGTTCATCAGGAGGTGTCTGTAAGGTGGTAAACATGGGAGGGCTTCTGATGAAATTATGTACGAGAGCCTTGCCCTGTCTGGTGAGCTCCTTCCCCAGGAGGGGCTGGTTGGACTTCACTTTTCCGTGTGAAATGGAGTTGTCTTATGTTTCTGTCTGTTGTGCTACAGGCAAGAAGACATGAGAATGTTCATTCTAGCGTGGGCTGTGGCACTAGCTCGAAGCACCTAGTATGGCATAACAGGACAGCTCTGCTGGCTTGTCTGGAGAGGAGGGTGAACAGCATGGTTGGATGAGAATCAGGCTTCAGGGATGTTTAGCTCAGAGTTCATCAGGAGGTGTCTGTAAGGTGGTAAACATGGGAGGGCTTCTGATGAAATTATGTACGAGAGCCTTGCCCTGTCTGGTGAGCTCCTTCCCCAGGAGGGGCTGGTTGGACTTCACTTTTCCCAAATCCACATGCCTCAGACTGAAGGCAGCAGGGTTGACAACAGTGTGACTGTACCTGACCTGCAGCAAGAGGTGGTTCTCTCAGTCTTGCTTTGGAGTGTCGTGCCAGCTCAAGCATCTCAGCTGGGCCCACCCTGTTCGTTCTATGGTCAGGTGAACTCCCTGTTGTGATTTCCCTTGTGCAGTGAGTTCTTAAGGAAAGCAATTGCCATTTGAGGTTACTGAGCTGCACTTCCCTGCTGCAGAGTAACTTGCTGGCTCTGTGGAAACGTGCAGCTCTGCAGGATGCTGAGCCATGGGGGTGCAGAGTCTGTGTTCAGCTGAGCAGAAATGGGCAGAGCCTCCTTGAGCTGGGGATTTACACCAACACAGCTGTCATCGAGCAGGACTTGCTTCTTGCCTTTCTCCCTGTTTTGTGGTGGTTTTGCATAAATGATTAATTCCCACTTTTCTCTCCCTGCAGCCTGTTCCAGCACTACTGCTACACCCGGGGCGGCATGCGCCACACGTCCTACACGTGCATCTGCGGCAGGTGAGTCCTGCTTTCTGCTGAGCTCGGTCCTCTTTGGGGTCACTTCCCCACACTTACTCCTTTTAGACATGTGATGTGTTTGCAAGTGCCACCAGAGTGAGTTCTGACCTGTTTCCACTAGAAAAGCCAAAGCGAGGTGGCTGGCTCTGTCTCTGAAAGGAATGACTGGGTAACAGATTCTGCTGCACTCAAGAGATTCCCCAGTGGCTGCTGCTGCCAAGATCATGTGTATGCTCACACCTGTGCTGCAATTGGCTTTTGGATGGCATTTTGGAGAAAGGCTGTAGAGCTTGTCTCTCTTGCTCAAAAATACTCTCTTGAAATACACCTGAAGTGTTTCGTATGATCCTCAAAATTGTATGCCTCGAAGGTTAGGATGCAATTAGACAAATCTTTGTGGAATTTTGAAGTTTTTTGCTCTCTCCTTTCCTTGCTGAACAGCTCGTGGTGAAGGTACTGTTTGGGAAGGTGTTGTAAAAGTTAGCCCTGCAGTTGTGGGAACACAGAGAACAGTGTAGGCTCCATGCTGAAGAATAGCTGTGTGCTTTGTGCAGAGATTAATCTTGCTTAGTCAGTGGAATTAATCTCATCAGAGCTACATGACAGTTGGACAGGCATATATGTTGGTGTATGTGTTCCAGGTGTCAGTCACTGCTCCTTGCAAACACTTGCCCCACACTGAAGTCACCTGCATTACAAAAGATAATTTTGGTGTTAATGACAACAATGCTATATTGCTTTGGAGGTAACCAGGGCAGGTAGCACCTTCACTCCTTTCTGCTGGTTACTCAATTGCTTATTTGTAAATGCAGTTTTCCAATTTGTATGCAGAATTGCAGTAGGAGTTTTATGGCAAATTGTATCTATAATTGTCTGAGAAGTTAAAGTACCACTGTATAACCTGAGAACTAGCATCCTGCTGAGATGAGCCTCCACCTCTGTGCTGTTGTCCTGTGTGGTGGGGGTGAAATCAGGTTGTGTCTATGGTTTTTCAGAGACTCCCATTCACTTGCCGTGGGTCAGAACCTGCTCTGCAGGATCTGCAGGATCTGCTTTGGGTGGGCAAAGCCTTCGATGGCCTCACTACACCTACAGAGCTGCACACTTGGGTGGTGGTTCCTTGTGACCCACGGGAACAGCCTGAACACTGCACAGGACTGAAGGAGTCAGGTTAAATGGCTCAGGGAGCTGAGGAGGAGGAAAGCTGCAGCGTTGGTTCAGAAGGGAGTGATGACAGGAGTGTCTGCAGTGTCCTGTCCCACCACACCACAGGAGCTCAGCAGGGTGTGGGAGCAGTGTGTGAGCTGTCCCTGAACTGCTGGGGCACTTAGACAAGGGCTGTCCCTGGAGTGCAGGATCCAAACAACACTGGGACTCGCTGCTGTAGTTGGGAGCTGCCTCTGTATCCTACCACTGCAGTTAGAAGTGCAGGCAAACCTAATTGAAAAAGAAAATAAATTACAGGAGATAGAATACAAAGACCTTTATCTGTAAATTGCTGTATTCTGACTATGAGTGACTAAGAATGAATAATACTGGTAGATTTAAGCAAGGCCCTAATAAAATGGATGAATTAAATTAACTTAATAATGGCAAAAATAATAGACATTTTTATTGCCATGAAAATGTCATGCATTGTAAATACTGCACTTAACTACATCCATGGCTAAAAATAGCTTTTGCAGTTAGGATGTTTGCACAGTGATGTATTATTCTGTTCATGCTGAGTTTTGATTTTTCCTGAACACTTAAAACTGTGATGTTTTGACAGGAACTTTCCCTCTTAGATTACAGGCCTGATAATAATTTTTGTAGCAGAGAATCATCCTATTAAATAAAAGGCAAGTTTGTTATTCAGATTTTACAGAAGGTGCTCCCTGAGCTGGAAATCAGGGGTACTCAGGGTGATAATTCAGTGCAGACATGGATCACTTGTCCTGTGATGAGTCCATCCATGTGTTGGCCCTGTCCAGTGCTGTGTTCTGAGGACATGGTGGATGAGTCTTGGGTGTGACCAGGTATGCTTTGTGTTCACTGCTGTCACCAGGATAACAGCACACATGGATCAGTGTTCCAGGGTGTCACCCAGTGGGGTTAGTCCTGTGGCTGGTGATGCTTTGACCCTGTTGTCTGGGGAGTGGTCTGAAGTGTGGTTAGAGTAGAGTGGCACCTTTTGAGAAGCACACTGGGGATATTCAGCGCTCACCTGCAGTGAGTAGTCTGTCTGCAAGTGCTAGTGAGTTATTCACTGCACTGTCTTAGGGTACCAAGGAACCAGTGTTACGATGGGAAAGCAAAGGCAATGCCTTCATCGTGTGTTCTGGTGACACTGTGGCAGCAGGTGCAGAGATTCCAGCTGGAGTTGGGTGGAGGCCTTTGTGTCTGTGCAGCCACCACAGAACCCGTGGGCAGCTGCTCCTCCTCACAGCAGCATCTGGGACTTGGGTTCAGATGCTCTTGGCAGATGTCTCTGGGCAGCTGACAGCTCTCCTCGGGTGATACCAGTGCCAAGGAGAACACTGTGCGGTGAAATGCCTTCCTCTGGCCGAGGATCGCGATAGGAGAAGCTTTTTGGATAGGATTAGATACTTCTTGAGTCTGTTTTTCTTTCTGGCGTTTCAGTACAACTTCTTAAGATTTCATGTCTCAGATAAAAAGGTAGAGAGAAGGGTTAGTGCTTCGTTCTGGATTGATTCTGCGATGATTTAAATCGTGGTGGAAGTAGTTTGCTGTTTTAGTTCACGGTCTGTTGGGTTTTATTTAGCTGTTCCTAATGTAGAGCTAATAGCTGCACTTTTGTAATGCTTAATGCTCAGCATAGTCCTGTTCTTAAAATGCTGCTGACATTCCTCCTCTGTCTTCTAATCATTTGTTTTCAGGGTGCTTTCTAATCTAAAATGTGTCTTGGGGGTTTGTTTTCCTTTGCTAGCCAATTGGAATCTCTTCCCACACTTCTCATTCTCAGTGGTGTTAATTTGCAGCTTTTCTGCTGCTTCATGCAATTCTTTCTGTATCAAACATGTCTTTGGCACCAGTTAGAGGTAAATTATTAAAGGAGCAGAAATAGGTACGCAGAAACAAACCTCCTGGAGGATTTTTCAGGTTGGGTGCCTGGGTCTCATGGTGGGTTGCAGAGGTGCTGACCAGAAGAAAGGCAGTGCTGCCAGTGATCTGCTCCACTCAAACCCACACAGACCTCACCCTGCTGCCCCTGAGGAGGAGAGGAGCCTTCCTGGAGAGCCTGTTCCCTTTGCTTTGCCAGTGGCTGGGGGGTTTGTTTGCATTGGTTTGAAGACACCTTGAAAGTCTAACGGAGTCAGTATGAGCTGTTTCTGCATGTACCTTATGAGTGCACATCACTGCTGAAGCATCACTCCTGAGGCATCTCCCTGCCTGCAGCTGGGGAGAGTGCTGAGGTGCATCCTGTGGAGGATGTGCAGCTCTGGAAAGGAACCGGCTGGAGCTGTTTCCGTGTTGGTGTTTGAATTTGGGTCAGCTGTGCATTTCTGAAGTGAGTTCTGCTGCTCCTCCTCAGCCCCAGGGCCCGCTCAGAGCCAGGGACCAGCCCTGCAGGGCTCGTGCTGCGTTTGCTTTGGGCGAGAAACTCTGGAGAGAGCTGTCAGGAGCAGCTCTGCTGTGCCTTGGGTGCTCGGCCCAGGGGACCTGCCCAGAGCCAGCCCCAGTGGAGTCCCAACCTCCTCACCCCAACACTGCCAGAGCCAAAAAGCCTGAGATGCATATGTTGTGCATATCTGGTCTTCAGCACCAACTGTGCTCTCTGTGCTGTGATCCCATTTGCTCACAGAGCCAAGATGTGCGTGACAGATAAGGAGCCTCAAATGCCAAGAAAGATTGTGGCTGCTTAACGCTTCACTGCGGTGCTGAGAAAGATTTTTCACGTATCTCCCGCCACAGTTGGTGCTGAACCTTACAGAAATATTTTGTTAGCTAAAACCTTTACATTAAAATGTGGAAAAGAGATCCCTCATCTCTGTATTTGCAATGTCTGTTGTGGAAAGCATTTGTGCAGGCCTCAAATCTGAGCGTATGAGTTATTTATGCCCTGGGATGGTCTGTGACACTGAGGGTGCCAGCACACCATGAGAAGTAAACAAGCTGTCTGCAAACACATTAGCATGGAGTCGTGCCCTTAAGCTGCATGGTAATTTTTTAAAAGTTGGTCATAAATATATGCATGTGCTGTTTGCTTCTCCTGCTTTGTCCCCAGTTTTGGAGAGAGATAAGGAATAGTATCTGCAGCTCAAACCCTGGCAAACTGCTGTGGAGTGTGTGTGTGTGCTGATTTTAATTACTTTGGGTGTGCTTTAATTATTGTTGGTGTGTTTTAATTATTTTTGTGCTTTTCATTAAACCCCAACAGTGTGGTTCACAAACAGCATCCTGCATAGCACCGAGGCCATTCCAGGGGCAGGTCCCCCCAGAGTTCAGCCCTCAGCCTGGGGAGCAGTTCTTCAGGCAGGAGTGATGCTGCCTCCTGTGCTGTGCTGGGAGCCCAGGGCAGAGGGGGAGCAGCCTGCAGCACTGGCACCTGCACACGAAAGGAGGCAGCTGGGGCTGGAAATGTGGTTCCCACCGTGCACCTGGCCAGGCCTTTTCCTTTGATGGTACCTACTGCCCTGTTACAGGGTTTTTTGTCAGGCAGAGCAAACTAAATCTGAAAGTGTTCTGGCATGGAAAGCGGTTTCAGCAGTGCCCAGGAGACAGGACATCTCAGAAAGAAGCTCATGTCTGTCTTCATCTTGTATACAAGCTTTAAAGGGATGTTTTTAGCTGTCTGCAGAGGTTCTCAAGTCCAGCATCCAGGAAAGGAAAGCATCCAGCCAGGAGCCAGTTGGGAAACTGTGCTTAAGCCGTTGGATCACCATCACAGAATGGATTTGTTGCAGCCTTAATGCTGGGGGGGTTAACTCTTGATTTAACAACTTTAATTTTTCCCTCTGGAGTGTGTGTACGTTTAAGAAGTTACACTTTGTATCTGAGTGACTAATGATCTGTCAGATGTCTAATTGATCACAACTACTTCGTGTATCGTGAAGGTAATTTCTTTTTGGATGCAGTGCATGGTTACTGTTTTGGTAGTTGCACATGTCACCATGTCACAAGTCCAACATGAGAAGCTTGTCAGATGTCACATTTACTCCAGAGATGGCAAAATATTCATTGAAACTGAGCCTCAGATTTCTTTTCACCTAAGATATGAAGCTGTTCCACTGTCATATCTTAAAGGAATCCAATTTGAGCAGGGTGACCAGTATGGTTTTGATGAAAGCTGAAGCACAGCCTGGCAAGTCAATGGGAGGGGCTGGAGAGATACTGCAGTGACCCTGTCCCAACATGTGTATTTTTTGGTGTGATATATTTCTTCTAGCATTTTGAAGAGAAAAAGCTAGAGCATCTCTGAGAAGAACAGTAAAAGAAAAATAGGTAGAGCTTGAGATCTTTACCAGCCTTTCAACTGATGTTTTGTAGACCTGGGGGAATATCAGCAGATAAGAGAGGATGCCAAGGCCAAATGTAGGTCACCAAACGGATCATGGAGCTGCAGCACGACAGAACAAGGGTCCATCCTTCTCTGGAGCTGCTTTGTTCCTGTGAACCAGCAGTAGAGTCTGAAAGGTGTCCAAGAATAAAAATCTTTTCTTTGTAGTGTGGTTTCTGTGCTAAGAGGTGAGGAGAGAGTGACAGTTTCCTCCCTGTTACACCCCGAGCAGAGAGCAGTGCGTGTGCTCCAGCAGGGACCACGTGTGGCTGTGCCAGAGGGAACTGGAGCTGTTTCCAGTCAGTGATTCCTGGAGTGCTTCAGCCATCTCCCATATTACTCCAGTGGAAGTTAGGGGTTTTATGTCTCAGACTACTTAACCTCAAAGAGGGGAAAAATATCACTTGGTAATTAAAAAACTCTGGAAGGTATTAAATGGGTGTAAGTTGAAAAATTACTTGTGCATAATTGGTTCCTCTGCACTGTCATGGATGTGAGAAATGAACTGTGCTGAGTTTCCCCTGCAGAAAGGTCCTATCCTGCAGCCAGAGGAGCAGAATTCCCGTCCTGTCTCTGGCACAGGAGAGACAGGGTGGCTGTGCAGCCCACGCCGGGGCAGGGCCTGTGGCAGCTCCCACAGGCTGCAGGTTCCTGCTCCGTGTGTAATACACTCGTGTTTGCAGTGCTGCTTCTCCTGTTCTGTTCACGGTTCTTCTTCCACTAATGGTGCTGAATTTCTGTCTCTCTGGCAGTGGGGAGAACTCGTCTGTGCTGCACTATGGCCATGCTGGAGCCCCGAACGACAAGACTATTGAAGATGGAGACTTGTGGTAAGGCTTAGAGTTTGATATTTTTATTTCACCACTGCTGTTTCCATATGGGAATTGTATCTGTTCTTGGAGGTAATTATTGGAATGAATGTTAAAATGATGATTGCAGAACGATCAAGGTCTAGGTCTTTAAAATAATATGTAATTTTGCGTGCCAAACTCATCTGGTTTCTTCCAAAGGTCCTGCACCTCCAGTTGAAATCCTGGGCCAGAGGCACATAGGATTGAGTTTAAGAAATGCTGTACTCTAAGCACAAGGGCAGTTGCAAAATTTGGCATCTGAGTTTCCTCTTGAGCCTCAGCCCCAAACCTCAGCTCCAATGGCTGGGTGAAGGGTCACAAGAGTGTTGGCTGCTTTTAGAGCATCACATCAAACTGCAGTCTGGATCGGGTCTTAAAAATGCTTGTGTGCACTCAGAACCCTGTGGTGAGAGTAGGCGTTGGAACGTGTGAAGAGCACACTCAGCTCAGGGCAGGGTTCTGTGTGGTGCCCAAAACATCTTTAAAGATTTTGCTTAGAGTTTAGCATTGCTTTAATACAGCTGCAAATGCCATACACTTTTCTCCCCTTGCATTCTATGTCCACATTCTGTGCAGTGTCACTGCAGGTACAAACAGGGTGAACGAAAGAGCCAAATATATTGCCCTAAATTGGAAGACAAACCTGTTTGTGTGGGGTGTGACAGCAGGATACAGCCCTTCACCTCTGCAGACACTGGTCAAAGGCCTGTGTTTCACAGAGTGCTTTGGGTTGGAAGGGGCCTTAAAGATCATCCAGTTCCACCCTTGCCACAGGCAGGGACACCTCCCACGAGCCCAGGCTGCTCCAACCCCATCCAACCCGGCCCGGAACACTCCCAAGCTGCTCTGGGCAACCTGTGCCAGAGCCTCAGCACCTGCCAGGGAAGGATTTCTTCCTCATATCCCTCTGTCCCTGCCCTCTGACATTTGTGAAATGCAGAGCTGGTTTTGGAGGAGTTAGTCACTGATGTTCACTGAAGGATGTGTGTTGGATTGCCTTCATAGCACGTGCAGAGGGGAGCAGGTCTATGTGTGTTTTCACAGTGGAGTCTAAAGGTACGAAGAAAAGCATATTAGTATTATCATCGATAAGCTCAAAACCTATTATGGAAAGCAAATTGAATCTCGGAAGTGAAAAAATATGCCTTGATGGCTAATGTTCCAGGCAGATCTGCAGGTGCTGCAGAGTGAACTTTGGTAATTTCTTTTCAATGCTGTAAAAACTTTTTAAAAGCTTCTTGTACAATAGTTTATGTATTATCTTCATCTGTGGTTAATAGTTTCCTAAACCCATCAAATACTGACACTAATTTGTTGCAGGGCAGTAGCTTTGATTTATGATTAGGTTGTATTTGAGTAGAGCATCCTCTATGAGGGTTTTCCCATCAGGCAGGACACACCAACATGATACTGTCTCAGCTGTGTCAGTTAATTAAACTTTTAAAAGGTGTGTGGCCTACAGGAAATCTCAGCACATGTTGCTGAGGGAAGATATGGCACGATGCAGTGTGATGTCCTGCACTTAACATCAAGGCTTTAAATGGGGTGAGAGACTTCAGGGGGAGGGCTGTGTGTAGGACTCTGCACAAGAGACTTCGGGGGAGGGCTGTGTGTAGGACTCTGCACAGTCTCTGAGGTCAGTGTAGTGGATGGCTGCAGTCCTTCCTAAACCACAGCTCTTTGCACACTCTGATTCCCTTCAGTATTGGCAAAAGCTTTAAAATAGGCTTGGGTTCTGTTAGCCTCGGAGAGCTGAATGTCAGGAGAGCAAACGTTACCAAACACATTGGTCACCAAAGTGTTTCAGAGCTGCTGCACAGCAGCCCCACTTTGTACCCAGCTCTGCCTGGGTCATTCCTGCAGGTGCTGCACGAGTGTCGGGTTTGGAGTCGCTGCGTGTGCGCAGAGCTGGGGATCCACAGTGGGCTGGGCTGGTCCGTGCTGGTCCGTGCTGGTCCGTGCTGGGTGTCAGCACCAGGCCTCTGGCTTCCAGTGCAGCCTCCAGGAGCCACGGGGAGCTCTGTCGGGTGGCGTGGGGAGCCCTGAGCACAGCAAACCTTCCTTACGTCCGGTGACAAGAGCTCGGGGTGTTCTGAGGGTTATTTCTGCTTCTGCTGGTGTAAATCTAACCTAACGATTCATCTGCTTGTGTGTAATAGAATTGGGGGATTGGGTATGTGGTACGATTTTTATTAAATTATTCAGTAGGATTTCATATCTTTTTCTCAGCATTATTTAGTGGCTGCAAATAACATTTGTGGGTTTTGCAGCAATGTGCTGCTCGGGCTCTTTATGTGCAAAGCAGTGCAGTGTCAGTAAATAAGTCAGCAAAGCACCTGAGTATTAGGAGAAAATACATTTGTAAGACTAATACTTTGCTGCTGTGAAATGCTTGAGTGCTTGCATTGTTTGCTCTTTTGAAATACAAGCTACGAGGATTTGGTTGTAGCAAAAGGAGATCATAGGCCAAAATACTTGTGCCATTACAGTTTTATGTCTTTTTTAAAGACTATTATTCTGACTTCTCCTTCAAAAGCTGTGGCAGGTTCAGAACAGCCTGCTTTAATGGTGTTCATTTTTTAAAATTAACCTGCATCAAATGGGTTTATTACTTCTGTAAGAAACTGGTATGGGACTACATCTCTGCTTTTGCATCATAATCCATGTTTTTTATAGGAACAGCTTCTGTTTTAAAAGATCCCAGTGCAAGACAAGGGCTATGAAGAGAGTTTCTGACACTGCTGTTACTGCAAACTGTCTTGCCAAGCAGGATTGTCACTTTCAGCCTATTAAATATTAAAACAGCTAATTGACACAAACATTTCAATTGACATAGAAAGAAATCAATGTTTTTAGGGAAGTTTAGGTGTTCAATAGATACAGGCATTTAACTGCTGTGGATATTGAGTGAATATTGCAAAAGCAGCAAGTCATTGTTTTATGTAAAAGATTGGTGTGCTGTAGTGTCTGTGCTCAGTGTGGTCTAAACCAAACACTTCCTAAGTGTCTGTGGTCTCCATGGTCACACAGGTCATGCACATCAATGGGGAGGTGCACTCGACCCCTTCACTTGGTGTTCCCTGTCCACAGCAGCTGTACTCAGAGTGTTGTGAGCCACAGCCTGCAGTGATGCTGTACAGCCAGTGCACAGGTACTGGTTTTCTTCTGTCACCTGAAGTGTGTGACAGCTTGGACTGAAACTCAGGCTGTTTGCCCTGGTTACTGCAGGACCCGCGGCAGAGCAGTGCAGGAGCTCCCTGCTCTGTGTGCTGTGCCATCACTGCTGGGAGGGCAGCACAACACCTTTTGCCTGCAAAGAGTTTTGTTGCATTCAGGGACCAGAATGGAAGCGCTGGCAAAGTCTGGTTAGTGTCCCAAAGCCAAACAGGTCTGTCGTAAAGGGACAGCCCCAGTGTCGTGTCCCCGTGTGAATGCTGCAGTGTGGTGGCTGAGTCCACGGGCACTGCTGTTTGCTCAGCCCCAGACAGGGCTGGGGGTGTGGGAGGGTGTGCAGTGTCACAGAAAGGCTTTGCCAGACTCGTTGAACTCGAGGCAGTGTTTTCATCCCCCTGCAGGTTTAAGGCATCGGAATGACACTGGCAGCACGGGGCACTAGAACCAGGGCTCGCTGGGAGGAGATGAGGCTTGTCCCAAGTTTTCATACTGGTAACATGTTGTACTTGCCTAGTGGGAGCTCTGCCCCTGTGTGTGCATTCTGCTCCAGCTGTGTCACACCTGGCCTGGTGTCCTTTGTTTGGCACCTCTGTGTAGCTTTTAATATTTTCTTCTTACTATTGCAACTTCTGGTGCTGTCAAAAGATCCTCTTTAACTCCCAGAGCTCCTCTGCCCCTTCAGAAGCTTTGTTCATCACAGGCAGTTCCTGACTGCAGGAACAGGGAGCTGTGGAAGGGAGTTCTGGATAGAGCAGAGGGAAGATGCTAAGTGTTCGGGGCTGGTTTTTTTAATGACTCCAGAGAGATGAAGGGCACTTCTTCAGCCTCCCTGGAGTTGCTGGTCACTCCAAGGTGTGTGAAGAATTTTGCAAAGGAAAGTTGTTTCTTGTGAGAGCTGATCAGGTTCAGCTGTGGCTAAAGTAGAAGTTGCTTTGCTAATTTTACCTCTTTGACGTCAAGACATAATCTGTGGGTTTCTGCACTCAGACGCTTCGTTGCTGTGTAAGTTTCTGTGTCCATCTCGTGCACACGCTGTGGATGTGCAGTGCACACCCTGCACTCAAACTGTGCCAGCAGTGCAGTGTCATGTGTGACATGAAGGACTTTCTGTGAGTACTGAGTGGCTCCCGTTTATTCCAGAAAAATGCTGAAAGATTTTCAGTAAGTCAACTCTAAGCCTTCGTTGAGGATGAAAAAGGTGTATACAAAGGTGATTGAAGACTCTTTTCCAAACTTGTTTGGAATTCTCACCGTGTTTATGGAGTTTTGGGACACTAGTGCCAAGCTATAACCAGCGCTCGTTTCTCCAGGTGGGGGCAATGTTGCACTTAAAAAGAGGATCTGACCAATCTTTTTCCATCAGATACTAGAAATCCTCCTTTTTCCAGCGAGTACCTCATTGTCTGCTATTAAAGCCATTTATCCTATGGTCCAAAAAGCTGCATTTATTGCTTCTTGAAAGCACTGCTCTTAAAATCTCGGGATGTTAATGTGTCAGATGTAAATGCTCAACTATTTAATGTGGGTGAGACTAGTATTTTCATTTGCCCTGGTGCATTTTTAGGCATTTTGAAGTTAGTGCTGTAATAATATGCAAAAGTCATGGTTAGCTTTAACTTTTCAGTCTGCAGTTTTGAAACAACTTGTTGTTAGTAATGGTTTTGTTTCTAATAATAATCCAAAGTACATGGCTGCTACTTTACTGGTTGATTGCAAAATCAGCTGGCTATCCATTTCTGAAATAGTTCCTTGGGCTCGATTCCTCTGGTTTGATTAATGTTTACTGTTTCCATCAAGTGTAGGTA